GGGAGGACGGGGCCCTCGCTGCCGCTCAAGTCGATGCCGCTGCTGCCCGTGCCGAGACCGCCGCCGCCCGTGCCGAGACCGCCGCCGCCCGTGCCGAGACTGCCAATGCCAAGGCCACCATCAAGAGGCTCCGCGAAGAGCTCGCTGCCGCCGAGGAGAAGGAGGCCGCCGTCAAGCGGGCGATGAGTCACGCCCGGAGGATCGTTGCCGAGTCCAGGGGCATCCTGGATGAGCACACCCAGAGCCTTGTCGAGGCCAGGCGCTGCCTGGAAGAAGAAACGCAAGCGTAGAGCCGCGAAGGAACAACGCGTAAAAACCCGTAGAGTGAAGGACAACTACGTACAATAAACCTCGCGAAGGAAAACGTAAGGAACCCACGGAGCGAAGGAAAACGCAAGGAACCCGTAGAGCGAAGGACAACTACGTACAATAAACCTCACGAAGGAAAACGTAAGGAACCATTTCGCCATCAATCCTGACATCGACACCTGGTCGAGGGTAAAACCTCGGCTGGGCCGGGCATCGGTCTGACGGGTCAGACGCTCCAACCAATGGGCGTACCCTGCATTGCACATTTGTGCATTAACTGGTGGGTCCGCTGCAACATCATCAAGCGGATAGCAAAGATCAGACCTTCACTTGGTTCTTCCCTTGCCAGAGGAAGCCAGTGTAAATCCGATGTCAGGAGGCAGTTACACTACTAGACTGGAGTCTTATCCAAATACGAGAACACTCGACGCGGCGCTAGTCATATCGTCAAGTCATCGAACAGCTCGCTCAGCTTTTCAACTCAACCAATCCATCTCCGAAGGCGCGACAGCTTCACATCTATCAAAACAATCAAGAAGTATTCGCCACATGACCTCCCTATCTTGAAAATCGCTTCGTTCTCCGAACTGGAACCTGATCTTTCTTCAGATGCGGGGCAGCTTCATATTAACCCACACAATCATAACGGCGTCAATCTGGAGTATCACGAAGTAATCGAACAACTCGCTTGGATTTTCAATCCAGAACCAGTCTATCTCCAAGCGCGGGTGCTTCATATGAAGCCGGTCGACCAATATACCGGCAGACCGTCAGCAACCGTGGTCGACAGTCCCCACATAACCTGGACCAAGGGATATTGTTAAATCCACGAAAACTTTGAAGCAGACCCGGACACGACCAAGCGGGTAGCAGTTTATCTTGCGCTTCCCGGAAAACTCATTATTCTTTGATTGACCGCTCCCACATCCGATTGGGAGCGGTGGAGCGCCTCAGTCCGAGCTACCTTGGGAACTTATATCTTTCGCGCCTAGCTATTACGTATCTTTTATGGAAAGAGGTATACTCACTTTAAAAGATAGAGCCCAGATAACGGGGCTTACCCGCCTGTTGTACACCCGCTTGCTCTACACCCGCTTGCTCTACACCCGCTTGCTCTACACCCGCTTGCTCTGCACCTGCTGGCTCTACAACCCTTCGAGTCTCTATTTTAGCACAACGCAGTTGGAGAAAGATCAAAATGCTTCCTTTTCTACGAAGGATCATATGGTGGCGCGAAGAACGCAAGCTCATCGAAAACCCAGCGAAACAGGATGATCAAAAAGTCCGAGCACTCCTCGTCACCCCACACCACGAAGAACGCGAACTCATCGAGAGAGTGGGGAAACAGAATAATCAACAAGCGCAAGAGCTTCTCGCCGCCTTTCACAAGCTGCAGTGCACCATGGACCCGCTTATAGCCGCTCAGGTCTATAATAGTCGTTTCTGTCCTCTTACTGGCCGGTTGCCGGATGAACTTATCCTCTGTATTCTCACCTTTTTACGCGACGATGTCGTTGCGCTGTCATGTCTTCGAATAGCCTCGAGAAAATTCCTTTACATCCTTGGGAATGAACTGTTTGAGGAATACATGGATCACCGTTTATATCATCCCATCGTACTCCCGAAGGTGCCAAAGGACCAATTTCGGCGGTTATTACAGAGGGATGATCGGTGCGATAACTGCAAGCGATGGAATAATACATGTAACCCTCAATACTCTGATTGCTGCAAATTCCGACCGCGAAGTGCCTGGGGCGAAGATGCTGCCGAGTATACCCAGCTTCACCGCAAGCTCCACTGCTACGCCTGTAACACTCTTCACTTCGCTTATGAATTTGCCTTTGACAAACAGGAATCCTCAAACCACCAGCCAAAACGACAATGCCTAGGACAGCAGGGATCGGTTCAGTTGTGTAAGCATATCCAAATCACTTGGGCCACTATCAAGGCCCATATTGATGACTGGCGGCGGCAGCAGCAGTATCGAGGAGGAGACTGGCAAGCCTGTCTTGATAGCTTCAACATTGAGTGCCACGATGCCAGCCACGACACACGTTGTGCAGCCTCAGAGCCACCAACCTGGCCTCGGGCTCGTCTCAACACTATGCACATCGGCCTCACCCACCCAGACACTGTGGTCCTCAATCTAGAATGGACACCTCATAGCCGTATCGATACAATGGCTCTCACTGCCGAGGGTCGAATACCTGCACCAGAACTGAGGTTGCTATTTTACAGGCTTCGAGGTTTAGGCCCTGCTAACGCTTTGTACCCTTTGTTCCGTTTTGGCGATCCGCCTGAAATGGCATTCTTCGGTCCACTTTCCCATCTTCGGCACTTTGTTCACTACCAGACTGGAGAAGATGATCAAACAAGTCCTCCCACAGCCCTGATCCCACCTATTTACACACATGTGGGACTGCAACCACACATTTCTCTTGTAACTGGCCGCCATGGAAAGATGCTGAGCATGAAACTACATCCCCTGAGAAGTACTGATGCCGTCTCCATCTCCTCGTATTGTGTTGTACTTCGTTACGAGACAGACATCATAATCTGCAGGGCAAGGGATCTGACAGATCCTACTGTCAAGATTGTTCCCACCGACTGTTGGCTACATGCCATGGATACGCAAACTTACCCGCACCCACAGGCAAGCCATATCAGGCCCCAATGTAGGGACATTACTTGTGTCAACTACTTTAAGAGGCACAAAGGCCGTCATTACTGCCAGGGCTGGGATTGTTTTTAGCGAAGATTGGCCCAATCAACTGCTGTGACTGAATGAGAACGCAAGAGACATGCGAGTGGTGGGAACGGGCCAGTGACAGGCTCTGCCAAGCCTTTCCCCTCCTGCTTCTTTTCCCAAGATGATTGCAAGCTTTGGTGTCTTTGCTCTATCGAAAATGTCGGTCCGATTAGACATAATCATCGTGGGCGCAGGGCTGTCGGGTCTCGCAGCTGCGGTACAGTGCGCACTTTCAGGTCATTCTGTCACAGTGTTAGAGGCTGCGAAGGAGCTTGCTGAGGTGGGCGCAACATCCCCGAGCACCAAACAGAATGACTGAATATCTTATCAGGTCGGTGCCGGTCTCCAGTTGACACCAAACGCGACACGTCTGCTTCAGCAATGGTCCGTATATGACACCATTAGGGATCAAGTGTGTGAGCCCACTACACTCACAGTGTACAACTATCGAGGCGAGACTCTCGCACACGAGAATCATTTTGGCACAAACATTCGTCGGAAATATGGTGCGCCGTTCTCAGATTGTCACCGTGTGGATTTACAGCAAGCTTTGGTAGGAAGAGCAAAAGAGCTAGGTGTGCACGTTATGCTGGATGCAAAGGTGAATGGCATCGACTTTGGCAGCGCTCCTGGCGACAAAGCGCGTGTAAAATCACACCAAGGTCAAGCTTACGAAACTGATCTCATTGTCGGAGCTGACGGGCTCTGGTCCTCTTGTAGGTCTACCATGCTCGGACGCAATGACAATCCTTTACCAACTGGAGACCGTGCGTACCGTATAGTGCTCAGTGTTGATCAGATCGGCGATCCTAAATTGAAGGAGATGGTGCAGACACCCGCATGCCGATTTTGGGCGGGACCTGATGCGCACGCAGTAGCATACAGTATCCGCGGAGGGAACATGTATAATGTCGTCCTGCTCGTCCCCGACGACCTGGAAGAAGGGGTGGCGAGGACGCGGGGCAATTTGGATGAAATGAGGAGGCTGTTTGAGGGATGGGATCCCGTGTAGGCTACCCCACTTGCCTCATCCATAGCACAAGCCACTGACACGTACGTTTTAGGTTAACTCAGCTGCTTGAATGCGTCGACAGAGTGGACAAGTGGAAACTGATGCACCGTGCCGAGATGGACTCGTGGGTCAACCCACAAAATAACCTCGTGCTAATTGGCGACTCATGTCACCCGATGCTCCCTTATCTTGCCCAGGGTGCCAACTCGTCCATCGAAGACGGCGCAGTTTTGGGGTTGCTTCTCGACCCAGAACACTACAAGTCAAGGTTACAACTACCGGATACTTTACAGCTCTTCCAGCAATTGCGAAAAGCAAGGAGTGAAAGTATTGCGCGGGAAACATTCAAGCAGCGAAAAGACTTTCATCTACGTGATGGACCAGAACAGGCAATCCGTGACGCCACAATGCTTAGGCAACTAGGCAAAAGTCCAGCAGGTGCATTCCCGAGTCGCTGGACATGCCCGGAGGTGCAACCTTGGCTGTACGGGTATAACGCGGCCGAAGAAGTTGCGGCGGCAATGCGAGCTCGAACGTCGTGATGGTGCGTTTTGTTTGGAGTGGCGCATGGGCGACGTAGACTCTGACCTCATCGGCTCGTAAACTTGGAGGTATCGCGGCCTGTTATTTTCATTGAGAGAAGGCCACCAGCACTGAATGGTTGAGAGATGATTTTGCACTAGGAGCATCCTGAAACGATGTACATGAGGAATGCCGAGGCATGTCGCATGGCTGACATGGGAAGCACTAGTAGCCCTACGCCACAGGGTCTCCAGAACCCTGGCTAATTTGCACATTGATCATTTCAGGGATTTGATTGCTTGATGCATGATGCCGTTTCATACTTCCCATGTATTTTCTCAAACAGCCTTCTTCAGAAAGCGAATATCGAAGAGGAAAACAGCTTGGCTACTGTGGATCGAGGAACCAACAAATCATAGGTTTTTATAGCACGCACAGGATCTTTTCGTGCTTGTCACGGGCGATATTCATGTAGGAAATTTTAGAGGTATATGACGATGCTTTAATTCTCCGGAAAGATCCTTTATTACATGCATACTGCAAGTAATAGATCACGTTTTCTCGGACGACAGAGCAGTCCTCGCAATGTCGATGGTGAGATGGTAGTCGCTAGCCCGCGGCCCACGAAACAAACTATACAATAATGATTGGTGATACACCCGCCGCTAACGTAACGGCAACACTAGTCGACAGGCCTAATGCCTTTCAGTATGCCTATCAAGTCCTATTTCATGGTATGTGAAACATGAAGATCAATGGCAAACCCGGTCGTACATACAAAGCCTAGCGAAGATGTGTCGATCCGTGGGGCCAACAACTACATCCCATGCCACACATCAGGTAGGAAATACCAGCAGCAAGTACCGACGTGGTGTGTGGTACTCCGCACATCCCTTTCATCACCTTTTCCCTTTCTCCGCAGAGAAAACGAATGTTTCAAAACAAAACGTACCAACAGATGGCCTGTCACCGGGACAGTTGGTCCTCGGCATATACATATGTACGCACTGTATCTCTCGCCGCGTTGTGGGTATAAGAAGGGTAGTGGTGCTGCCCCCTCCGGTGCTAGAGAAGGCATCGACTTTCGATCCTACATTCACTTCTCCGCCTTGTTTTTCTCGTGCAGTGCACATCCTCGACCATCTTTTGCTTTCTCTTCAAGCCTCCCTGTCGTTCGCTCATCGGGATATCCTTTCCATCTTTCACAAGCAGAAAATTCTTTTTTACCATATCGAGACTTCAGACTGTCTTTGGAACAAGTTCCATTCAATATGAAGTACCACGCTACTCACGTTCTGGCGCTTGCGAGTGTCGCGGCTGCGTATCCGTATCCTCAGGAGTTGCCTTCGGCCACGGAGCCTGGCACTGGCACGGATGCGGGTGCTGGTTCTGGCATTGGCAGTGGCTCTGGACTTGGTGGACTCTTTCCAGGTCTAGGCGGAGGATCAAGCCTGCCTAGCCTTGGTGGGGGTTCTGGTCTGCCTGGTCTTGGGGGTGGTGGCTTGGCCCTCCCTACCAAACTTCCAAGCCTTGGAGGGGGTTCTGGCTTTCCTGGGCTTGGAGGAGGTCTCGGAGGAGGTTTTGCTCGACCTACTGGCTTCCCTAGTCTAGGAGGAGGTTCTGGTTTCCCGGGACTGGGAAGTGGATCTGGTCTTGGAGGAGGCCTCACCCTGCCTACTAGCCTGCCCAGTCTAGGCGGAGGTTCAAGTCTGCTGGGTCTTGGAGGAATCGGATCTTCACACAAAACCGCTGCTAGTGATACTAGCATCGGAACTGGCGGTTCCTCTTGGATGGACTGGCTCAGCGGATTGACCGGAGGCCTTGGTGGAGGCTCTAGTGCTGGTAGTGATGGAGCTGCACCGCCTGCTTCCCCCGATTCCGAGACACCATCAACTCCAGCAACACCGGCGACTCCAGCGACTCCAGCCACCCCTGTAGGGAACAGCACTGGAGGATCTGGAGGAAACTGCAAACCGCAGCAGGCTTCTTCCGGCCTTCTCGGAGGTTCCGAGAACGGCATCGTGGACAAGAACTGCTGCACGGACATGACAATTGTCTTTGCTCGTGGAACAGGCGAGATGGGCAATGTAGGCACAGTCTCCGGGCCACCCATGTTCAAGGCTATCCGTAGCAAGCTCGGTGCCGACCGCGTTACTGTCCAGGGTGTCGACTATCCGGCCTCTGCCGCTGGCAACGTCAACCTAGGTGGCGATGGTGGTGAGAAGATGGCAGCGCTTGTCAAGCAGGCCAAATCTCTGTGCCCCAACACCAAGGTCATTGTCTCTGGCTACTCACAGGGTGCTATGGTAGTCCACAATGCGTTCAGCAAGGGACTTTCGGCTGAGGATGTTAGCGGCGCGGTTCTCTTCGGAGATCCGTTGAAGCGCACGGCCGTTGGCAAACTTCCTACAGATAAGGTCAAGCAGTTCTGTGGCACTGCTGATCAGATTTGCGGCGGCGGTGGAGATGGTGGTGCCACTGGTAGCCACATTAGCTACGGTAGCAGTGCTGAGGCCGCGGCCACATTCGCTATCCAGGCTGCCGGTCTTGCTTAGGTACATCAAGTCTATGTTGTCGGTATAATCCAGTGTGATTTTTTTGGTCGATCACTTGTCACTGAAAATACAGGCAGGCACTAGACATTTGAGGCAGAAGATGGTACACATTCTCTTCGCCACTCGATTTTATGTATCTAGTTTCTTTCATCTATATATAGTTATCAAACTCACTCTTTTCGGCTACCCTGGTTGTTCATGGACTTCTGGTCTTCCTAGCATCCACGCAGCGACAATATTGAAATTTTCTGCTAGCGAATATCTTATTCTTAACGAGCGTAAACCCAGAGTACCTCAGCTACCTATTAACAGATTTCACAACAACTGTAATCGTTTGCCCAGGAATTTTGAGGTTTTGAAGACAATTTTGAATATGGCGATGCTGAGGATGACCAAAGCAGCAAGGATACTAGCGAAGAGGATGAATAGAAGTGTGATAACGGGTGGAGACAAGCTTTCTTTCTTGACAAGAAAATGATGGTATTTCACCGAATTACTCTTTGTCGGGTGATACTAAGTTTAACTATAATTACTATCCCAGTCCTACCCACCAAACTCCTTTCTCTCTTCTGATATTGATTCAATACGATGACAGCAAAAAAATTCGGAGGGTTGCCATTGTACTGACATTCCCTTTCTACGCGGTCCACCAAAGTAGGAAACAGGAAGAAAGGTAAAGGGAGAACTACAGAAGGACAAATCAAGGCTGTAATCAAATGAACTCCACAATAGCTGTTCAAATCAAACGGTATCTTTGCATTCGATGCTCTGACTATCATGCAGCTTACCAGATGCTAATCATATAACATACCTCGAGTCATTCTTAACCACTGACAGGAAACCACCTACCTCCCTAGCGACAAACCGAGCCGAGCCGGCGCTAACTGACTAGACGCGCGCTTGCGCCTGTTTCACTTGCTTCTGTTGTTCTATTTGCTGCCTTTCTTTAACTACCCTTGCATATCTTACGTCATCTTGGTTTTGGCCTCTATATCACGTGATGATCGCTAGACATGCATAGTAGCAATTCCAGTGTGGAAATGAGACCAGGCAATGAGGCGGTTAGGTGGGTTACATGAGCTCATTGAACTGTGCTGGGATGATGGTTGTGTTATTGCGATGACGAAAGGGATGCACATCATTTCTCCACAAGTATGTTTCATGTTCCTGGATTGTCATATGAGTTCTATAATTATCTCTGTCCCCCTATTTACTCGCTAAGATTATACACAATATGTTGAACAACTATGCTACCAATGCAGTGGAGACTTGAAAAAAGGAGGTAATACTCTAATGTATTTTCTAATGCACCCGAGCAGCACAGTGAAGCCGAGATCATCTCTTCAGAACACAGTGATTACTTTGGCCTTTAGTGAAGAGAATAATTTTATAGTAGCCCCTGGGAATTTCAAGAGACCACCGTTTTCGTTCGTATATACAAAGACAGCTGCTTAGTTGCTCATCTTATGGATCAAGTATCTGCATATTTCAATTGAGAACACAGTGTTGCGAAGATGCAGACTTATTACAATCGCATATAGCATATGGAAAAGGCTTGTTATTGCCCTTGTCATCTTTCACTAATGCTAAAACTCTCAACTGAGTTTGAGTGCAATGTAGGCTGTCAAGGATAGAGGCTAACTGGAGTACGACGTTCTGACATTTATACGATGCACTCACTCTCTGTATTAAAGGATACCAGAGAATGGGAATGCTCAACATATCACAAATTCCACGGACTAATAGCCACCAGAGGCTTGAGAGATGATTATCTCGCTTATTCATACAAACGTCACAGTTCACTATTAAGCCCTAGTGATGGCTTCTGAAAGAGATATTTGGGTATAATAATAATGATATTCGAAGCGTACATATATACAACTTATCAATGCTCAGCTAGCAGTAAACCCGTCATAGATGGTTCATAGATGGTAGCAACCATCCTCGTTCGTTATGTCGGTTGACAAGGACATTGTGAGCTAAATCCCTAACCGATATTTGACTCTTCTCAAGTAATTCGATCCCCCTGTGGTATGTTGATGGTGCAAAATTGATCCAATCCCTTAGTCGTCTCTGATTATCTGACTTAAGAAGCAATAGCGCCACCGGCACCGTGCATCTTGCAGTAGTATTCCCACTCGTCACCGCCCATGTGCCAGTCGTAGGAGATGCAGATGCTCATGCCACCCTTGTCTGCCTGTATGGTGTGTTAGTTATACAAAGTCATTTTTTTTCCTTTGGTTTCTGTTCCTTACCATCTTGCAGTCAGGGCACTTGTCCCACTGCTTGTTGCCAGTGTTTCGCCTGAAGTACGAGTCACAGGCCTTTTCTGTGGCGGCTTGGTTGTAGGTTGCTGCACCACTGGGCCAGTCGGCACAGATGCCGCCGTAGTGGAGGTCTGCTGAAGCAACGTTCAGGATGGCAGCGATGACTGGCAGAGTGATGGAGAACTTCATGATTGCGGATGACTGAAGAGATGATTGTCCTTGAACAACTTGGATGGGTAGGAAATGGAAGTATTTATGAGAGAGATGTGTGTATGGGGTTGGTGATGCTCACAAGTAAAGTGCGGACGCATGGTAAATAAGTAAAAACGCTTGCTATGATGGATCTCTCGTTCTATCCGCTGTTATCGCTGTGTAGTCATGATTCACGACCCCCAGTTCCCCACTGACCATCTCGGTATGATTGCGACCAACATTACCACCCCTGAAATGGCCGCGAGGCATTGCAACGATAATCCTTCCGGGGTCCTGCCAAGAACAGCGATCAAGGTCATCCATTAGAATGAAGTTTTTCCGAACGGGTGTCCTAGGGCAGTATTCTTAGTCGGAAACTATGACAGTTGGTAGCCCTTTCATGCACAGGACACCGAGTGGCTGGCACATAAGCGTACTTCATGCGCTTCGGGCCGAAGGTTGAGTTCGTGTTTGCAAGAGGATCCAATCGGCAGTGTTCGGGAAAATTGGTTGCCTAGATAACCTTAGGCTGCTCCTACAAGGCGAAACAGTAATTCACCGAGCATGCTCCGCATAGTGACCTGGTCCTTGCATCGCAAGAACCCCTGTCACCAAACTCCATCACGAAATGACAGCTCCGAATACTGAGATTTGTCTACCTGCACGAATCAGGTTTCCTTGCAGATCAGTGCTCAGACGAGTTAACCAGATCCAATGCTGCTCCCTGTAGTTTTCCACGCCTAAGATAACCATCTCAAGCTCATGATACTATAAAGTTTTGAAGCATCCGGCCCAAATCTAGAGTTTTCATAGAGCATCTACACTCATACCTTCTATCTCTATCCTTCTTCAGCAGGCCAACATATCGGCAATTGACCATCAATCTTCACAATGCACTTCACTCAACTCCTTACCCTCGCAGCCGGCGCTACACTGGCAGCCGCTGCTCCTGCTGCAGTTCCTGATGCTCAGCCTGCACCCCTTGCTGTTGCAGCGGATGATATCATCCTCCACGGCAACGGTCGCATCCAAGTCATGAAGCGCTCCGAGTTTGAAGAGCGATTCCCCCTTGACGATTATCCACTTGGAACGCCAAACGAGTTCGACCCCAACTTCATCACCTACACTGGCCCAGAGCTTGCGAACAGAACCAGTAGTCCTCTGTCGAAACGGGACATCTCCATTGTTATCCCCGGAAAGACGACCACATTCACTGGCTGGGATGTCCAAGTCAGCCAGATCGTTAAGGGTGGAATTGGCACAAAGATCACCGTAGCAGCTGGTTACAGTGTCAGTAACAGCATTGCTGTCTCCGCGGGCATCGACGTTACACTTATAGAAGATTTCCTCAAGGCATCGATGTCTGTCACCCAAACATGGCAGACAACCAACAGTCTGACCCAGACCTTCTTCACCGATGTGCCAGAAGGCAAATACGGTGCCTGGGTCTTCCGACCCCTCACCAAGCGCTTCACCGGTGCTGTCTGGAGTGGCAAGATGGGAGACACAGGCTCTGTGAAGACATGGCAGGCGGACTCGTTCACTTCCAAGATGTACCAGGACATGGCCTGGGTTGATGGTTACTTTGCGGCATGCTTCCAGGATACGTTCCCTATGCCCCGATGCCAGGGACAAGGTACCCTCTAAATGCCGAGTCTATGCTGATACATAGCTTGCAATACTTACAAGGGAAGACGGTCTGAATCAATGAGTTTTGTTCTACGAAATATGGTATGGTTCCATGAATGTATATAGCTTAGGGCATCAAACGAAGCCATCTTTAGGATCAATGGAGTTTGCTATCACAACACCTTACTTTACTTGAATTTTGGTGACTACTCTCTGGATATGATCTGCAGTTGTTTTGAAAAGGGTATACACCTTTACTGAGCCATTGAGGTTCCAGTCTCAAATATCCCTACTTGTATTTAGGTTTCTACTCGTTCGTTCATTGTGACTGCAAAATGGGTTGCACATCTCTCAATCAACGTTGACCACTTCAACATTTCAATGGTGAGATAGAATCTCAGCGCGTATCTATGATATTATCTACCTTAGAGAACCGATAACTATGTCAAAAGTCTGACAGTAGAGAGACAAATTATAATCAACATAACAGGGCACTTATGACCATGGCTGGTCAACTATAACAAAACTTCTATCATCACATTATCACCAAGAATCATAGGAACTTCTAATATTCAAGAAATTTTACACAAAGTGTAAAGATTGCGATGAACCATCAGACTCTGAACAAACAACAGGGTTGGAATTTCCGTTTCATCCATGTCGAAGCTACCATGTGTCAGCAGCCTGTTCGAGATTCTCCTTCAATCTCACGTATACAGGACCCAACGTACGATACACATGCGCTACCCGGACACTAGCAGTCAAGACGAGACGGCGCTCAAGCTATCACGACCTGGGGCCGAGGACGGCGATGACAGTACAGCCTGCCCCGTCTGAGCACTCGTATTTCCCCAGCTGCGGTGTCATGCTTGGCAAGCCGAGTCATCTACGGAGTACACGGAACCCATCACTCCCCCCGCACGTGAATGAGCAATAAGTAGCAAGTTCACGGTGTGTCGGGCAATTGGCCAAGAAGCGTGAGAGGAAACAAAACGGTCCTGTTCTCGTGTGCACCTGCTGTGGAGAAGCATTTTACAGCGCCCAGCGGGATTATTACGTACGTGATATAGGTGTAGGGGGTGGACGGGTGGACGGGTGGACGGGTGGACGGGTGGACATGGTTGCGTTGTCTTGACCCCATGGTACCTGTGGTTGTTTTTAAAAAAAAAAGCGGACCCGAAGTGTCGGGTTACCCACACACATGAGGTCGATCAATCGTGGCGGCGCCTCTTTTTTGATTGCGCAAACGGTCAGCAAGGCACGTTGCTGCTAACATGAGCGGTGATTGGGTGAGCACGGGCTAGTGGGGAACAAGAGATAGTGATAAGGGTAGTGAACGCAAGGCGGAGTGTTATGCGGAGAACAGGCTTCGGCCATGGCGTGTTAGAGAGAGCGCAGAACCAGCCCCCCCCCCCCTTGTCCCCTCCCCTCTTCCCCCTTCCCCCTTCGCAAAACCGTGGCGGTGGGTAGTCAGCAGGTTCGCAACCCAACCCAAACGGGCCGATGGAGTAGCGTAGGTAGATGTACGTTGTGCTATGCATAGCTGCCACCAGTTTCAGGTACAACCATCAGGAATGTGATCCTGGTACCATCAGCCGGCACTTTTGAGGGCCGCTGCAAGAAGGCCTACGTAAATAGTGGCCATGTATACACGCTCATTAAATTCGCGAGTTCATCATGCGTTCTAGTGTGCCCGTTGGAACGTTGGCGGCAATCCCCACCCCCACCCACCGTACTTCATGTATATGGAACTGCGGCAAATTGCGATCACCACATCTATTTTTTCACTCGTTGCGCGTACACCAAGGTGCCAAAACGGGTAAAAGTCCAGAAGAGGCAAGAACAACATCATACCACCGAGATGCAGCGGTAAATCAGAGCGACAGATGGCGTGAGCGATTTAAACTTCAACGACATGACTAGCTATTTGCTCCATTGTGTGATATTGGCACCGTCGTGATTCTTCCCTTGTGCTTGTTTTCTCTGCAAAGGCCCGCTACTAGTAGTGTCCTATGCAGTAATTCCGCCTATAGAACTCATCATATTATCCGGACCTGCGTTAGCTCGTACGGCCTTAAGCTGGATAAACTAGGCGCAACTAGCCCAAGCACACGACTAGCCTAGTTTTTTTCCGTCGACATCAAGCGTCGGTGTGAATAAGAGCCTCGTATTCAAATTACCAGGGTTGGAATTCTCGCATGTGTCGTCATATACCCGATTCCTTGACGGGACTAAGTCCTTCGTACTAATAGACGCCCGATAAGAGAAATAGAGGAAGACGGAACAAATTGCCCTCAATGCTAGTGATGCTGTGTAGGATCCGAAGGACTTGGAAAAGACTAGGGATGTGTCTGGCATACAGTAGGATACACCTTCCTGGTCGAACGGGCAGCACACGACTCGTCGACCCTTGCCTGCTTGTAGAAACTTGACGTGCCATGGTGCCTAGCGGCGCATGGTGTCTCCGATCAAGCTTCGATGCCTTGGCACAGGTTGAATGACCCTTTACCACGCCTTTGACTTGGTTGACAATTTTTGACTTGTCAATTTGCCATCACATACTGTTTCATGATTACGATGGCGCGTAGCTCGTCGAGTAGATGGCATTTCTTCTTTGTTTCTGTCATTTGCAACCTATCCCTCCATGCTACATAGCACCCGAATTTGCGTACTTCTTTCCATATTTGAAATCATAATGACTATTCAGTGCTAGTGATGTATTCATAGTCCGAAGCAAGTCGTGTCCTATCGGCCCCTTTCCCTACACTGCCCACTCATACGTACAAAGTGTCAATCCAAGGCTTGAGTGCACCAAGCCCAATGATAACAGCTTCCTCTGTTCGGATGGTTCTGCTGCCCTGTCGTGGCACCAGGTTTACCCACGCGTCGAACAGCTGGTGTGCTGTAGATTTGTCTAATCCTTTGCTAGTCAGTTCTGGATCACTTGCGACCGCTAGCTCTATGCCCGCTTGACTGCCGAATACGATAAGCAGGTGATTGAAGGATTCCGGAGCCCCAGAGACTGTGGAGCCAGACGTGTCACCCGGGAAAACACCACCGGTATTTGAGAGAAACGAATACACCGACTGTCCGCGCTCCGAGGTCCCAATCGACATGTCGTAGCCACCAGGGTATTCGCACTCGGAGAAGACTGCGCCGAGCGAGGCAGCGCGTCGCACATTGTAACCCCAATAGTATCCGCCTTCCTCACGCGGTAAACTGGCAGCACACGCCGTGGCTTCTAGACCGTCGCAGTCTTGTTGTGAGAGATTGGGCCAGCCCTTCGGCGCTTCTTGATTAGCAAACCTTACAGTGGTGCGCATTCCTTGCTCCACAGGCGCCTCTTTGGGTACCGGTACGCGAATTGGATAAGGTAGACCGCACTTGATGTACGCGTAGTCTTCTCGTGAAACCTTCTTTGACTTGCTGCCGCTTGGGGGCGGTGCAGAGCCTACAAAGACACCCTCCCGGTACTGACACCATTCGTGGCTTCTTAAATGATGGGGCATGTCCATGCTGGGGAGGTTACCCACCCATTTGAGGTTTTGATGTTCCTTGAAGATGCTCAACCGCGGATCCTCTCGGTCATACCTCAGATGTGGAGGGCACTCTGCAAAAGCCAGCAAATGGTACAGGAACTGGTCAGGATTTTGCCATGCTTCGTCTTGTTCGGAAATAGAGTCTAGAACCTGTTGTTTCGTGCGACCTTTGCGAATATACTTTTGATCGACGACCTTTGGGTCGATGTTACTTGGGTCGTCATCGTAAACCACAATTTCATCGACACAGTAGATGGCTGCTGCGCGCGCAATGCGCCCAACCTGGATGGTCTTGTGATCGGGCTTCTTTGCATTCAGAGTCCAGCTCCCAGGAAGAGCAATTGTCACCGTCCAATTGCGGCCTTTGGTGGGATTGAAGACGGCAGTCGGCCTTGATGTGTCGATATCTTCTACATTTGGTTCTTGGACATGACCCTTTCTCTTTTTCATAGGGCTATCATTATCGCCGGGTGTTTTTCGCTTCTACTATCGCGTCAGCATCAAATCAAGACTAGACTTACTTTCACACTACCTTTCCATTTTCCTTCTCGTTAAATTTTGCATTTTTCGACCGCGACTTGCTGTTGACCACAATCGTATCGTGGTCGTTGCCCATGCTGGCGCTATTTGATGGATTGTTGTCTCTGCTAATTGATTCCCTAGGACATTGACTAGCGATAGTTTTTGAGATAATGCTTGTTCTGCTGGGTGTGTAATGGCATATGCAAGTCAAAAGTTGGAGAATAAAAACAGAAGAAGCTGCCCGGTCCTGCATTAGCGTGATCCGCGCCGATCCACCCGCCACATCCCTGTTCAACAGTGAGGCACCCTGCCGCTCTAGGCAACGAACCTCACCTTTACCTTTCTCCCGCTCTTTGTTACGCAAACACAGATACATACTCCGCCTCTCTCTCTCTCTCTCTCATATACACCTCTAGCGGATATGGAAACCCCAAAGTACGCCCACAATGTTTAGTAGCGCCGTCACTCTACTAACCAACCGCCTAGGTCCTTCTTGTCGCGCACAACCAACACACTCATTGTCTTCTTCGCCCTGTACTTTACTACCCTCTTCTCCCTCGACACCTGGGCCGCTGCACGAGGATCACCATTTCGCGCGCCGGGTAGCAGCTCGTTCAATCGACCTGCGCCTGCAGCTCCGTCGCGACACAGCTACCAGGGCGGGATGCATGGTCGAGGGAATGCGGGGCCTGGAAGCGGTAGCGGTGGTGGCAGCCGAAAGGTGGCACAGGTGAAAGATTCGAGACCACCCATCAAAATGGGAGGTTCGGCTGCCTGTGGTGCTTGCTTGATCTAACAGTATACATGTATGATTGCGGGAACAAAAGTCGAGTATAGGCACTCATCATGTCATGGATAGTTTTAGTTCAAATTGTACCAGGATTGGCAGTAAACTTTCATTGCTCCTTTTCGCGCCATGCTACTCAGTGATGCTGACGAAATAAACCATCTCATGCGCCCCGCCTTACGTTTGTGCTCATAAGTGTAATCTTCTTGCCCTTCTTCTTCTTACCACCACTCTTCTTGGGCGCTTCTTCGCCCTCAGCCAACGACATGGCCTGTGCCTGAGCAATCATATCCTCCTCCCCAAGCAAATCCTTCTCCCAGCCTTGCAGCCACCCGTCGTCACCATCAACGTGGTCGTGTGGGGCCAGCACGGGAGATGTCCCCGCAACGACCGCAGTGCCCCACACGGTTCGAGGAGCCGACGGACTGGTAGAAGGAGAGGCCAATGAAGCAAAGCCATCACCACGTCGTGCCGGCCAGGGCGGTGATGTCGAAGTATGGTCACCGTCTGCAGCGGGCTGTGCGTCTGTTGCACTTCCAGATGCCAAAGGCTGGAAGTCGTCCGCAGAAAACCTCTCCGTGATGCTTGGCCGTCTTCTGCGTGCTGACGTGAACTCAGCATACTCGGCCTTTTCCGCGCGTTGCCGCGCCTTCTCCTCCTTTGTCTCCTTCTCGGTATGCTTCTTACGTCGCCTCTCGATTTCTGGTCGGAATCGTTCCAGAATCTCAGGGGCAACAGTATCCGTCCAGTCGCACTCGAGGAATCCAACCTCGCAGCCATATGGCAAATGTGCTAGATATTTTGTACGTTTCCGTAATTCATCGTCTACAACATGACCAGTAGAGACGTGCTCCACTCTCGGTAGGATTGTTGACGGGAAAGAAGCAAAATTGCCAAAGGCCGCCTTTAAAATGCGAATATCTAATGGCGACAGATAATAGTGAAGTAGCGCTTGGTAGAAGAAATACTCAGAAGGTGTCTTGTGGTGCTCGTGGTGTTGTCGGTTGCGCAGCTCAGCAAGAGTTAAAGACATGCTATGACTGGTGGCAGATGAATGCGATGAAACAGACATGGCCCGATCTTTGGTACTCGAAGATTCGGGTGCGGGTTGTGGTGGCGTGTAATCCTGGCCAGACTTGGAAGCGTTCTGGATGTGGTACATGTCGGGTGCGGCCCCCTCGTCATCAAAGACAATTGGGGCTCTTTTGGTCTTGGGTTCTGTAGGCTTGGAAGGCTCTTCGGGAGGGTTTCCAATGCCTTTGAATTTCTCCTTGAGTTCTCGAATGTTTCGTATTGCCTTCTTTGTCCATTCCATGCTGTCTTCGGCAAACATTACCTCGTCCTCTTTGCCCTGCTGCTCGAGTTTGACAATTTCCTGATCTAATTGTTCGAGCATGTAGTCCTCCCCACCCCGCATGACACGAGCATAGTCTGTGACCTCTGCCGCATGGTACCAGGGTATATCTTGGTCCTTGGGTAGAGCATCGGCACCGTCGCGCGGCATGGCCAATGTACTTCCAGCTGACCTTACCACCAAGCGCAGGACAACATCGCCTCCTTCTCGTGGAGCCTCGCCCTCTTGTCCAGTGTACCAGCGGACAGGTCGTGTTTCGGAGGCATAGATGGTGTCGAAGCATAGCGGGCATTTTTTAG